ACCAGCACCAGGCTCATATACATAATTGTTCAAAAGTATAAATGTTTTTTTTTTTTTTTTGGGTCCGGTCGTGGGGTCTGAACTCTGGGCCTGGGCGCTGTCCCTCAGCTCTTCAGCTCAAGGCTAGCGCTCTACCACTTGAGCCACAGCGCCACTTCTGGCTTTTTTTCTTTTTGCTTATGTGGTGCTGAGGAATTGAACCCAGGGCCTCAGGCATGCAAGGCAAGCGCTCTACCACTGAGCCACCTTCCCAGCCCCGTAAATGTTTTTTTTAATAAAGTAGGGGCAAACATATTAAAAATATTTGATGTTTATTAACTGAGTATTCTGTGTTTCATTTGGACATCGTAATTAGAAAGATGGAGAGTCCTGAAGTCAAAGGTGTAATGCTGAATTTATTTATTTATTTTTGTTGTAGCTGTGGATGAAACTCAGGGTCTCTCACATGCTAGGCAAGCATTTCTACCACTGATCCCTTGAAAGCAAGGTGTGGTAGAGTAATTCCAGCACTAGGAAGGCTGAGGCAGGAGTCTCAAGTTTGAGGCCAGCATGGAGTATACTGAGACACATAGAAAGGAAGAAGGAGTGAGCTCAAGAGACCACGAGTAAGGACGTGAACTAGTTATTAAAACACTGCAGTTTAAGACTTCAGAGATGAAGGAAAGAGTTGTGGGTAATGAAAAAAACAAAGGAAGGACTATTGGAGTTTGTGGCTGAAACAAAATGGAAATGTAGCTGAGAAGAAACAATAAGCTGGGAGTATAGTATGGGTGATTAGTATAGATAGCTAAAGTAATGGTTGGAGGGCTGGGGGGAAGTAAGTACAGGATGAGTCATATCACAGAGAAACATGGTCTTTTCATATGATACTAGAAGCACTTATTTATAACCTGAAATTTTGTGCTACAGAACTTGGGAGATGATTTTCAACACAGTATAAGCAATTTTTGAAAAGTGTGATCTCTGGTCTGTGTTCTCACAGAGCAGCCAGGTTTCAGACAAGATGGAGAAGAGGGCATAGGGTAGTATGTTTCCAGAAGAGCTGTTATAGAGGATGGAAAGAACAGGTGTGTCTAGTGAAGCAACATCAGTATCTCCAATAACAACAACAATACTAACTAAAAGCTATGGGGATGAGAAGGAACAAAAAGGAATTTAATCTAACTGAGCATGTTGGTGCATGCCTGTGATCCTAGATATTCGGGAGGTAGAAGGAGGAAGACTAAATATGAGACTGGCATGTCTGAATTCCTGTTACTTGAGTCAGTGAACTTCTCTAGGGAGAAGGTCCTCAAAACAGAGGAGGCCTCAGTTCTTAGATACTAAATTCATGATGATCTTGCAAAAAAAAAAAAAAAAGAACTTTAGAACACATCAAAGGAGACCAACTCTTTTATTTTATTATTATTATTACTATTTTTTGGTGCCAATACTGGGGTTTGAACTCAGGGCCTGGGTTCTGTCCCTGAGCTTTTGGGCTCAAGGCTAGTGTACCATTTTGAGTCATAGCTCCACTTCCAGACTTTCCTGCCTGGCTGGCTTTGAACTGCAATCCTCAGCTCTCAGCTTCTTGAGCAGATAGGAATCTAGGTATAAGTCACCTTGCTAACAAAATTTATTATTCAGTTAAACCAAATCAAATAAAGGACAGTACAAAATCCAGACATAGTGTGAGCACATCTTATAACAGGTGCAATTAGTGCTCTAATAGAGGCATTTCTGATCACAAAGTGGGCTGGGGGTTTGGTTCTAATTTACTCTGGGATGAATGTTTCTCTTTGTTCTAGACACCTGGTGGTAGAGTGCTTGCCTTGCATGCATGAGGCCCTGGGTTCGATTCCTCAGCACCACATAAGCAAAAAAGACAAAACAGCCGGAAGTGGCACTGTGGCTCAAGTGGTAGAGCCTTGAGCTGAAGAGCTGAGGGACAGCGCCCAGGCCCAGAGTTCAGGCCCCACGACTGGACCAAAAAAACCCCAAAAAACCAAAGATATCAAGATTTATCTCTTCATTGAAATTGGTTCATTACAATGAAGGATTCTGCCAGATGCTCCCTTTAAGACAATCATCGTTGAGAAGAATATTTTCTTTTGCAAACACTTTTGGTGCCTAGAGAATTTAGTCATTTTCCCTGTTTGTCTCATTTTCCCTACCTCCTCCCCTAAGATTACTGTTTTACTTTCAGATATCCTTCATTGGTTCCCAGTGTGCACTCATTATTTGGGTAACTGCACAAAATCAGAGGGAAAGAGTTGCTCTTTTTCCTCTTTACCATATACTGCAGCTTATTGAAGGACTGTAAGGCTCAATGCAAAGGAAGCAGTGTTCATGTGCTCTTAGTCAAGCTATTTATTAATACAATAGTTATCTGTGATTTTCTGGCTGTCATTTCCTGCCTTGGTCCCAGCTACTCAGGAGGCAGAGGTAGGTGGATTACAATTGGAGGCCAACCTTGGTAGGGGTAAAGTGAGACTCTAATTCAGAAAAAAAAAAAAAAAAACTAAAAAAGAAAAAAGACTGGGGACAGCTTAATCAAAGCCCCGAGTTCAAGCTGCAGTATGGGTATTGTGGAGTGGGGGAAGGGATAAAGGAACTTAAATCTAGACAGGAAAGGGAAGGAAGATTACTCCAAGGAAGTGAGGCTTCAGCTGAGGTAAAAAAAGTACCTGAAACTTAAAGAATATATTAAAAGCAGTGAAACTAATAGGTCTTAAACATGGACAATATATGATCAGACTTAGGTTTTGAAATGAGATATGAAAAACAACAACAACAAAAATCCAAGGAGATCATGAAAAAAGGTGAGAAGAGGCGGTTGGTACTTGGAACAGAGAACCGACAGTGGACAACCTAAATAGGAGTGAGGAGATAATGCCCAAAGGAATTGATAGTTAAATACTTTTAGGAATGATTCAGGTCAAGAAGAATGGCTGGTTATACTGAAGAGTAAGTTTCCTTCCACAGTCATCTCTTAATTATAATTAAGCACGTTTTATAACATAAGGTTAGGCCCTAGGTAAGGCATTCCTGTCTTCTACTTAGTCCTGTTCTTGTTTTAAAGACAAGGAGTTTATGAGGCCTAAGTGCTATGTCTGCTGGGAGCTTGCAGGTATTTTTAGATTGGAGAGTAGATGGAACTACTGACTGGACATCATTAATTGCAAGGAATACAGGACATAGACATATGCTTGACTATGTCAGGTATGTACATGGCCTCATTTGATGTGGTTGTCAAAGAAGCTGGGGGTGGAAAGAGAATAAAAATCAGTTGGGGACTCTGAGAATTGTAAATTAATATGTGGCTTTCCAGATCATTCTGGAAGTAGTTTGTCAAGGGAGTAGTATAATAGAATAACTTTTATATACAATTGTTAGCTTGATTTATAACTTTTGAATATTTAGACAGAGGGTACATGTATTTTCATAGCCACATCCTTGTATAGGCATGAAAACTGTGTATTGCTGGACAAGGAGTAACAAATTGCCATAGATACAAGGAATGTGGGAGACGAATGAGTGGTACAAGCTTTCAGGCACTATATTAATGTATATAAAAGACTTTTTCTGGTGCCTGTCCTAGGGCTTGAACTCAGGGCCCTAGGCACTGTGTCTTTGAGTTTTTTTTGTTAAAACTAGCACTATACCACTTGAGTCAGAGTTCCACTTCTGGCTCTTTGGAGATCAATTGGTAAGTGTTTGATGGAGGACAATTGGTAAGTGTTTGAAGGACTTTCCTCCCTGGGGTGGCTTTGAACTGCAATCCTCACTTCTCAGTCTCCAGAATAGGTTCAAGCATGAGCCATGGGGGCCTTGCTAAGACATTTCTTTTTAAGGTTAATGATTAAGAAATTATTTTAACTATATTGGTTTCAATGTAATTTTTGAAAAGTTTCTGGAAAGCCTAAGTTTATAATGTGAAACAGACCTTTCTAATCATGTAATCAAATTTACTTAAAAAAAGATAAAGCTGTTAACAGATGAAGCTGCCTAAGTATTCAATGCTAATGAGTGGATGATTTCCAGCCTTATCTTCTTTTACTCTATCAGTACAATTTATGAAGACAGCCGCTTCCAGTTAATTCCAATTACAAATTGCTTTTACTATCAGATAGCAAAGGGTTAAATATTTTAATTATTTAAAATTTCATGCACCTAAAAATAAATATATCTAGAAACCAACATCGCATTTTGACCCTCCCCCAGCTTTCCCCGTGAAAATTCTAAGGGAACGGGGATAAAGAAAAACAAGAAAAGGGCAACAAAGTAACAAAGTTCAATTTACTGAGTTCACAAGAATGGATATTCCTGAAAGGTTACTTTTAACAGTTTTCAGAAAGTAACTGGAAACTCTGGGTTCCTCTTGGGAATCATACAATCTCCTCTCACTTGTCATCTCCCCTGACTGATTTTGCTTTTACATCCTTTCCGTTGTCCTTTGGATCTCTCCTGAGATTTAAGAGTTGAAGTTAAAACTATGTTTGGTGCTGTGTTTGAATTGTAAACCATCGCCCCAAATTCCTTGTCATCTACGCTAAAACCAATCTCCCCAAAGTCCTTATCTTTGAAGAAAAAAAAATCACGGCTAACAAAATATCGAACAGTCAGGACGCTCAATAATAAACGTTAAAATACTGAAACAAACAAACAAAAGTCTTGCCTTTCAAACATATGTAAATATCGCCAACATGTTTTTCTTGGCGACTTTTAAGATAAAATAATGATAAAATCAAAGACTTTTTTTTTCCGGGTCGGTCGTGGGGCCTGAACTCTGGGCCTGGGCGCTGTCCCTCAGCTCTTCAGCTCAAGGCTAGCGCTCTACCCCTTGAGCCACAGTGCCACTTCCGGCCTTTTTCTTTTTGCTTATGTGGTGCTGAGGAATCGAACCCAGGGCCTCAGGCATGCAAGGCAAGCACTCTACCTTCCCAGCCCCAAATCAAAGACTTCCAAGCGGCAAGTCACAACGATTCAGTCTTCGACCCCTGGGGAGGAATTCTTACCTTCCAGGTGGAAGCAAGCCGAAAGTTCTAGATTTGATGGAGATTATTTCCCACGGAGCGCCAGTTTAGCAAGAGTAAAGTTTCTGGTGACCCCATTAATTCGCGGTCTCACCAAAGACAAGCCTCGGTTTCCAGCCGCGTTCGTTCTCGGAGCCCCGCACCCTCAAGTCCAGTTTCGCCAACCGCAGAGGCAGAAAGGAACCGGACACCTCGCGGGGAAAAAGAAAAACCGGAAAGTGGTACAACTAAGACAAAAACCTTCGGGGAAGAGACAAACGTCACCTCGGCCAGCGAAGATCTGGGGCTCCAATCCTCCTTCCGGAGACTCGGGGTACCCGGGTTCACGCGGGCGACAGCCGAAGACAGCTCCCCGCGCAGCTCCCCGGCCCCCAGCCGCGCCCCGCCGAGCTCTGACCTCCAAAGCGGGTCCGCTGGGCAATCCCGCCCCTTAGGCTTACGTCCAGATTTTTGATTGGTGGTTAGGTGGGCCGCTCGGCACGGTTGGCCCAATGAAAGGCCCTGCCGGTGGCCAGACTGTCCCGCCCCTGGCGGAGGGCCCGCCCTGTGCCCCGCGCCGGGGAGCGGAGAAGAGTAAATACAACAGGAGTGCAAAATGGCGGAGCCCCCGAGTCCGATACGCGGCTCCGCCGCCACCGCCGCCGCCGTTTCCGTCTCGGAGAAAGAACCGCTGAGCAGGCTGCATTCTTCTTCCCGGGATGCACTAGGTTCCCTGTCCGCCAAGAAGGTCCGGACCGAGGAGAAGAAGACGCCGCGGAGGGTGAACGGGGAAGGGAGCAGCGGCGGCGGGAACAGCAGGCAGCCGCCAGCGGCACCTTCGCCTCAGAGCTACGGCAGCCCGGCGCCGTGGAGCCTGGCCGCCCTCTCCGCCGTCCCCTCCGCGTCCTCCTCTCGGGGCTGTGTGTCCTTCTCCCCGGGCGCGGCCGTCTCCGCCGCAGCCTCCGCTTCGCTGTCTCTGCCGGCGCCGCGCGCCCTGCTGGTGCCCCCG